CCAATCTTCTACCTACACTCCTGGACAAATCTCGTTGGAACATGCCTCCCCTTGCCCCCCCCGTCAATGTTGTTTGTCATTGGGTAAGCCAGGCCAAATCTTGGTCCAATAAATGACCGCAACATTGAAAGGGGGAAAGGGGGGATCTTTTCACCGTGCTTTCCACATAGTGTTCCAACTATTTTGTCCAGGATTGTAGGGGGACAGCACTTTTCAGTACCTGAACTGTGAGTGAAAATTTGGTTAAACTCTCAGGGTGAAGGCTGTTATTGCCATCCATTGGATGAAATGTCACTTGTAAGGCATTCCTGAAAACTCTCATTAGACGGGTTTTTCTTTTCTCAAGGAATGTGCTGCATGGGGCACTGCTTCAAATACACCACAAGTCCCACAATGGAGAACTGACATAATTACTGCATGCGTTTGAGTCATTCGCTTTTTCCATCAAACCCTAAGAAAGCTCAGAAAAAGACAGAGTAATTTCAACCTCAGAAATTGGTGAACTGAACAGTTAATGCCGACTTTCCTCAAATCTATAAGATCCAATGGCATGTCAATTTGAGATGTGAAACAAGACAATTTTGTTTGTTTGTTGGGGTTGTTGGGGTTGGTTGGGGTTGGTTGGGGTGGGTGGGTGGGTGGTTGGTTGGTTGGTTGGGGTGTTTGTTTGTTGGGGTGTTTGTTTATTGTTGGTAGTCAGCAGGCTTCAGACCTTCAGGCTGCTTTTTCACATGTCACTTATAAAAGATTTGAACCCTTGCCTACTATCTATTATGCACAGCATCACAGTCTCTTTGTACAACAGTATACAAATATAACATTTGGGATGGTCAATTTAAGCTCCCCAGGGTACTGGAAGTTGACAAACTGGTTTCTAAGTGGAAGCATAGCATAAACCCAGTTTTCATCTGTTTTACGATACCTCAGACATTTCAATTGTCATTAAATTTTCAGAAGCAAGAGAAAGCAGCAGTACATGTGCAAGCTTTCTGTAAATGTGCGATGTGCATACATAGCCTGGTTGGGGTAAGCTCATATCCTCAGATACACAACTGGTTAACAGCAAGCATACGTAGCAACTAGCACATGATGATGAACGAACTAATCAGAGATCGGCTCTCCATCATGAATGTGTATGAGGTAGGGTCATGGCAACTATGAGCCCGAAGATGGACCAAAAACCGGTGCAATTTTTCTAGCAACTGAGGATCCTTCGGTCGGAACTGCACTTCACTGATTCACAAACTATTATGAAATGCACACGTTATGGTCGCTTCACTACCAACAAAATAACAAAGACTCTTTTTAACAGGTGAGGGGGTACTTCTGCTCAGGGCAGATATGTTGGTTCACTTGGGTCAGTGAGAGTGCCAAGAGCAGTTGTGTATTTCTTTAAAATAGCTTAAATCATGGTTAAGATGTGTGAATGAGCAATTCCTTGTGTGTCAGACAGGACATCCAGAAATTATTTTCAAACCCATTTCAGAGATTACTAGAACGAGACAGAATCTGTAAAGCAGTTGTGCAACGGGGCAACACTGTTCAAAGAATAACTTGGGAAAAACAGCTCTGTTCAAGATTAAAACTTGTTCAGTTGTTAACTTGTGAATCAGAGTCATAAAACCTGCATTTGTAAGTCTTTCAGCAACAATCTCTGTGTAGCAGATGATGCAAAGTTTGCCAAATATCAAATTTCATGCCAAAAAGAATTGCACCTAACTCGGCAGACTAAATCTTTGCAGAACATAACTAGAAAAATTTGCCACGTCCAGTGATCAGAAAGATGCAGCTGAACAGTGAAAACTTACAAAGTTATGCTTTAATGGGAAATTTATTGAATTTAACCAACAATACCACACTGGCCATTCTCATGGGAGAAATCATTTTGTTTCACAAGCCAGTGTCTTATCATGGCCATCTGCTGTTAATTTTGTGCATTTCAAACTTGTAGAGATTATTAAAGGTCAGTCCATCATATGCAGTTATCCAAAAAGTAACTGACGATATTATTGTTGAAAAGCATACTTGGTTAAAGATTGTTGTGAAACTAAACTCCCTATAAAATTATTCTTTCTGGCAAGCTGTCATTTTTAAGAAAACACTGAACGAAATCCATTTCTGACAATATGTCTAAGCATACAGTTTTCAAAAATTGCCATTAGAAGCACACGCCAACGCTCACAAGAAACGGATGTGTTCACAATTACTATAGTTCGTCGGTCCATATTCAGTGCATGACATCACATACATGTATCTGCATTGAACTGAACATGACAGCGTACCGTCCCAAGCGAAGTATTCATCAAGTTTGTTCTTAGGCACCCTAGGTTCCTTAGATTTTGAGTAATTTGTGGCCTCGAAGGAACATAATGCACAAATGACAAATGATGGACTGTACCTTTAACTATCTGACATGGAATAGTCTGAAGACAGTATGTGCGTCATGTAGGCACTGACACCACAAATATTGCTTTCCAGAATTGGAGATATTCCCTTACCAGGAGTCGGTGCACATTCTCTGTCCTCTTCCACGGTCACCTCAGCCAACTGCAAGATGGCATTTGTGACATCTGGGTTGCTGGAGTCTATGTCTAAGCTTACGTATCTTGCCAAACGTGGGACTTTGCAAACAAACTCAATGGTGGCACCGTTAACAGATTGGTCTCTTGTGGCTGGCGATCCGCAAGGATAGTTCTCAGTATAGTCTGAACTGAGGCCGGCTCTTGCTACCGCAGCAGCAAACCGAAATTGATCTTTCAAAATGAAACAAGAACAGAATAACTTGTGTATGAAACAGCATGCAATGAATGCTGACTGGCTCACATAGGAAATAGACAACACTACATGGCATGCCTGAACTTAGATGCATACAATATTACAAGCAATACCTATGAGTCTGTCTGAGAGATTTAACATTTGATATCCGTCGTGAGGTATGTCTAAGTTCATGTGATCTTTAGGTTCACTCCAAACGAAAACCAAGTCAACGATCATTACAAACAAAACATGAGTAGATAAGACATTTAAAAAGTCCAAGGATTTACTTAACTATAATTATATAATTGTGTCCAATTGGATAAGTATCACTGAAAGACTCAATATTATGGGTATAAAACGTTAACAAAAGGAAAACTGATTCACTTGTTGTACTTACCACAGCAGCCTTGACGGAGAGTGACAGTGATCGTCCCAATGTAGCGCTCCTCACCCAAGTCCACTTGCCAGGACGGATGGGAATCTCCAACAGCTGAAATACACGGCATTAGATATATAGCACTTGATTTGTTTCAAGTAAATCAAGAAGATGTAGGTGGAGTTAGCAGCATCGTGAAGATGCTTAAACTATTAAGGTTAACAAGACTTGATCTTCGAAAACGATTCAAAGTGACTTACCAGTGTGTGAAAATGTATCAAGGTTGCCGTCAACAGCATTGTCTGCTGGGTACAGCAAAGATGGATAATCTGAGCTCTGTGAAGCTTCTTTGCCAATAAGTGGAACCGCTACATTATAAAGGAACAAAAATATGAGAAGGGCGTTCAAATGGAGGATAAACAGGTGTATGCCCACAAGCCAGCTACTGAAAAAGTAAACTGGGAAAGACAGGTTGCACTGTTCTCTATAAACCAGCAACTATATCAGATGTAGAACTGTTACAATCAACTATCCACACACAGCACTGTTGTAGTCAAGTACATCACAAGTCCTTTCACAAAGTCCCTTTGCAAAACAGTCAAAAGTAACAAGGATGAACAACGGCAAAGGAATTCTTTTCTTCCACTGCATTTGAATACCTATTAACCACTTCACATAAGACTTGAGAACTTGAGATGGACTTGAGATGGACTTGTGATGGGCTTGTCCCCTTGATGAATGGCAAAAAAAACTGTGTTTAGTTATTTATGTAACAACTCTAACAGAACAGTGGCTCCACACTGGGGGTGGGAGACAATAGTGAACACAATGTTCACTGCCTTTGGCGGGGGCGGGGGCGCACTGCAAATGGCAAGGGAAAGCATTACCCTGGTTACCAGCTTTATCAATGGTA